AAGTCCGTTCCTTTAGTCTAGACTGGCTGGTCGCGGGAACGTGCCGCTGTCGCCACCGAGTCGAGTGGGCGAGGTGCCACTGCGTCCGGCGAGCGCCACGTTGGACGCCGGCAGGCCGCCGTCCACGATAGCCGGGGCCCCGGCCCCGGCGGCGGCGGCGGCGAAGGTGTGGTTACAGAAGGGGTTGTCAGGAGTGTCACGGGTGATGGAGCTGCTAATCACAAATGTGATTCCGCCACCTGAGAAACTCGAGACCACCGCCAGCGACCATTCGGGGGGTCCAGGAACCCACGCAGGAACCCACGCAGGAACCCGCGCAGGACCCCAAGGGGGGCGACCGGTAGAAAGGATACCTTGGGCTGGCGACCCGTGTCAACCCCGGTCCGGCTCGGCTCAAGGCGTCTTGCACAAGACTCCCGAAAGGGACTACCCTTTCGTCGACTATTCCGCAGGCCCGCCCGGACACCTGGCGCCGAAAGATCAAGACCACAGAAGAATCGTCCCGCGAGGAGTGGCACAGAAAGAACCGGTAAGAGTGCTTCAGGGGAGAGTGCCCCAGACGGGAGTGCTTCAGACGAGAGTGCTTCAGGGGGGTGTGGCTCGAAGACAGACGACTGACGTGGTGGGTCGCCAGCGTCGGCCCGACAAGCTGGGGTTGCCCGGTCGGGACAAAGCTGCGTCGGCGGTGCCAAGTCCCAAGACGGCTGCCAGGGGCCAGGCGGCCAGGGGCCAGGCGGCCACGGGCCAGGCGGCCACGGGCCAGGCGGCCACGGGTCACGCGGCCACGGGTCACGCGGCCATGGGTCACGCGGCTGTTTCTCGAAGCCAGGCGTTCCCAACTACCAACGGCGGTCACGCAGTCGGGTTCAATGCCTCTCGGTCCCCAAGTTGTGGCAGATCACCGCGTCCATTACCTTCACCCGTGTCTCCGGCAAACGCCCTACCTGTATCAGCGTATTGGTCGCCCGTACCCCCACTTGCGCCCGCAGGACTCCCGTCTCCAGGAGTTCCACCCGTAGGACTTCCGTCCCCAGCCCTTCCGCTGCTTCCTGGACAACAGGGAGTTCTCTTGACGACGCCCGAGTATGTGCAATCGGAGCATGTGCAGTCGGAGCATGTCCAGTCGGAGTACGTGCAGCCGGAGTATGTGCAGCGGGGATACGCGCAGTCCGGATATGTGCCGGTGGACTATGTACCGTCAGAGTATGTGAGATCGCCGCACTACGTGGTGTCGCCCGAGTATGTGCAGTCCCCCCCCCAGTACGGAAGGTCCCCCCAGTACCTGCAGTCACCCCAGCAGTACCATCACAGCGGTTACTCGGCGTTCCCGTTGTACGCTGCGAACGGCGGCTTCGAGGACGAGACCGTTGTCTCCTCGTACGCGGTTTCGACACAATTTCCGCCTCAGGATGCCGGACTTCGCTCCCCACCGTCGCCCCCCCGCTTCTCTCCGAGTCGAGTACGGCCCGCGGACGACCTGCTGCCTCCAACCCCGACCCCCCCAACACCGTACACAAAAGAACCCATCTTCCACCGCGACCCTTTTCTGCTCCCGAACTCCTAGTCCTACAAAGGTCCTGTCCCTGCGGAGCTCCCAGCCTGGCTCATAATCCTGCCTGCCGGGCTCCCGTTTTAGTCCTCTTGAGATTCAGAACTGAGTGCTCCCTCCAGAGGCCTCGATCCGCACACGTCTCTGCAAGCTACGTCTCTGATGCGCGCACGATATTTTTCCAATGAAGACAGACACGTGGCATGGGCCCAAGTCCAATACTCGGACCCATGCTTAGTTCCCAGCTGCCTTGACGATTAATCAGCAAGTGGGTCCCTTCACCTTGATTGTGTAACGAGGGTTGTTTCTCCGTACGTGTAACCAACACTTCAAAATGGATGTTCAGAACACGGAAGGAGACGGAACAGCAATTCGCAGTATCGGTCAAAACGCCCTCAGCTAGCGGCCGAGATTTTCAGACTTGGCCCGGCTCGTGGAGATGGTAACGGAGAGATGTCATGAAAGGGAAAGCTGGGATAAACTAGGGACTGCGTGCTGACCATCATTCGAAGACTCTTCCTGGCGATCATTCCAAGACTGATCCTGACCATCATTCGAAGACTGATCCTGGCCATCATTCGAAGACTGATCCTGACCATCATTCGAAGACTCTTGCAGGCGATTGAATTCAGGCGATCCAGGCTTGATCGAAGACTCGTGAAAAGTTGTTCTGGGTTGTCTGTCAATTGGCTTGAAGGCGCCTGGAAGAGATCCCTCGAAGACGGCTGGAGGAGTTTCTTTGACGGAGTGTGGCGGCTGTAAAGGCCATCGACAACGTTTGACTGCGCGTCGGGGTTCAGGACGCAGCACTACTCCGGGATGCGATGGAAGAGGACGACGCTGGATCGAGTCATGACTGGAGTTAAGAACCTGATGACTGGAGGAGGGCTGACCAGTGAGAAGCGTTGCTCTGGGCAGCCGTCCAAAGAAGTCCGTGCCTTCATCTTGAATCTTCTCCTGGCGTTGGTTTTCCAGGGAGATACGAGGGAATCCGACATTGGCGCAAAACTTTCCAAGCACTCTCGGTCTATTCCGGGCTAAGCTTGCGAGCAAGCACGCGAAAAAGGAGCGGTTGGAAATGTTTCTGGGAACGTCTGCGGGTGCTAGAATCCATGCCAGACGGGTTATGGTCCAGAAGCGATAGTGCCCCCACAGATTGCAGAGGTGGGCCGTTAGGTCCACTACGCTGGAATCGACTGTCATCTCGTCGGCTGTTGTCGTCTGCTCAACTGCCCTTGCGTTAACGAGCCAACTGAGAACTTTGGAAATCGAGCAAATTACTGACCTGTCGCGTGAAGTGGCGGCAGTGGGAAGTTTTGTGAAGCTACTCGCTAGGGCGCTCGCGTACAGCTTGTCAGTGCACTTCAGGTTACCGTCAATATTTACCCCGGTGGTTAGGAACCAGTTTTGCAGGTCGCCGACATGACTACAGATTTGCAGGACATTCGCCAAATACCACTGATCAGTCACGCCCTCGGGCCGGGATATCAGGTCTTCCGCGCAGGTCTCGAGCAACTGTCTCACTCTTTCGCGGTCCAGGTGGTCACACAACTCACCAGCCAACCATGCGCACGGCCATCTGCACCATCCAGTAGCAACCGGTTGATAGTACTCAGGTATCGGTTCCACTACGCCCTCTCCGGTCCTCTGGCGAATGTTGCGGATGCTCCACTGCACAGTCTTCGCTCGGTCACACGCCGCCTTAGCAAGCATCCGAAAAATCGCCTCATACTCCTTTGTGCTGACCTTCTCGAACGTCTGCTTATTGCATTTGATTTCGATCACGCCGGCAAGGAATTCTGCAGCCTCCGTCACAGCGGCATCCCGAGCGGCCGAAGCCGTGGTTCCCCCGCAGAGCCGCTGATCGTCAGGTTTCTTCTCCCATGCAGTCTGCTCGCCATTGACTTGCGCGCCCCCAATAACATGTTCGTCGCCACCACGCAACACGACGCTGCTACAGATCCCTCCCACCACAAGCAATAGTTTAGGCACTGGCCCACTACGCTGGCTCTCGTTGACCCTCATAGCTGCTGACCTGACGACCCCTCAATAAAATTATAATTAATCTTGGAGCGCTAAGCTCGACCCATTCAG